ACCATCTCTGGACCCAGCCATTTTGAGCAACTATCGTCCAGTCTCCAACCTGCCCTTTGTTGGGAAGGTTGTTGAGAAAGTGGTGGCCTCTCAACTCCGACGGTCCTTGGATGAAACCGATTATCTGGATCCCTTTCAGTTGGGTTTCAGGCCTGGTTACTGCACAGAAACTGCTTTGGTCGTGCTGATCGATGATCTCTGGTGAGCCAGGAATAGGGGTCACCCCTCTATCCTTGTGCTCCTTGACCTCTCAGCGGCCTTCGATACCATCGACCATGGTATCCTTCTGCGATGGTTGGAAGAGGTGGGAGTGGGAGGCACCGTCCATCGGTGGTTCTCCTCCTACCTCTCGGACAGGTCACAGTCGGTGTTGGTCGGAGGACAGAGGTCGACCCCTAGGTCCCTCAATTATGGGGTGCCGCAGGGTTCGGTCCTGTCCCCCCTCCTATTTAATATATACATGAAGCCACTGGGTGAGATCATATGCCGGCACGGGATTAAGTACCACCAATATGTGGACGATACGCAGTTGTATCTGTCCGCCCCGTGCCAACTCAACAAAGCAGTAGAAGTGATGTGCCAGTGCCTGGAGGCTGTTAGGGTCTGGATGGGAGTAAACAAGTTGGCATTCAATCCAGACAAGACCGAGTGGCTACTGATGTTCCCTCCCAAAGATTGGCCAAGTATTCCATCTCTAAGGCTGGGGGTGAAATTATACGCCCCTCAGAGAGGGTTCGCAATTTTGGAGTCCTCCTGGATCCCCAGCTGACTTTAGAACACCATTTGGCGGGTGTGACCAGGGGGAACTTTGCCCAGGTTCGGCTGGTGCACCAATTGCGACCCTACCTGGATCGGGTGGCCCTTCAGACAGACACTCACACCCTTGTGACCTCAAGACTGGATTACTGTAACGCGCTCTACATGGGGCTGCCCTTGAAGAGTGTTCGAAGACTTCAGCTAGTCCAGAATGCAGCCGCGCGAGCGATCGTGGGTGCACCCAGGTACACCCACGTTACACCTATCCTCCGTGAGCTGCACTGGCTACCCATTAGTCTCCGGACTCGCTTCAAGGTGCTAGTCGTTACTTATAAAGCCCTACATGGCATCGGACCTGGGTACCTGAGAGACCGCCTCCTGCCAATTACCTCCCATAGACTGATCAGATTGCACAGACTAGGCCTTCTCCGGATCCCATCTGCCAGCCAATGTCGGCTGGCGACTCCCTGGGGGAGAACCTTCTCTGTTGCAGTTCCAGCCCTCTGGAACGAGCTCCCCGTGGAGATCCAGATCCTTGCTACTTTCCCGGCCTTCCGCAAAGCCACTAAGATCTGGCTGCTCCGGGAGGTTGGGGGGCTGTTGAAATAGCCAGCCCACTGTAACTATGAATGTTGTGTATTTTAAATTGTTGTTTGTCTATTTGTCTATTTATCCCCTTCCTTTGTTTATTGTAAGCTGCCTGGAGTCCTTCGGGAGTGGGCGGCATACAAGACCAATAAAATACAAATACAAATAAAATAGTTGCACGAATATCCATTTTATTGGAAGATGTTGTATAGATATCTGTTTCATTTTTCTGTTGTTCATGTAATGCTCTTGTGGAAGACTGAATTGTTACTTTCTTGGAGCACTTGGTTGGTGTGGGTAGTTTTATGATAGATTTGTTTTTCGAATTTGCTCTTGATGCCTCTGTGATGAGCCTATCAGGAAGGGTATGATATTGTTTTCTTTTTCCCTATAGAAGTTTATTTCTTTGAAGAGGCTACCGATGGTTTTGTGTGCGTTCTCTAGTTGGTGCTTTTTTATTACAACAAAGGTGCCCTCTATGTACCCAATCCACACTTGTTGCATGCACTGAAATGCTACAGATTCTGGCATTGGTTTAGTCTCTGAAACAACCAAACTCAGAAAGTACCAAGGACCTCACAGTTCAACTATTTTCTTCTATCAGTATGAAAGAAATCTTCTGACAACTCATAGAAGTGTGTAGATCCTTGTCAGCCTGGTGTGGTTTTCCCCACCCTTCCCCACCCCACCCCAGGGAAGGATGATACTTGCAGAAATTTATTTTTTTCCCCAGCAATCATTTTGGCATAGACCCTCTGGGAATAAAACATCCAAATTTACCTGCAACAGAATCTGCTATGGAATTCATTTTAAATCCTTAGACTTGGGCAACTCAATACTTTATGAGCAAATTCTACCATTGCAAGTTCATGATGAACATACTTAGAACTGCTGGATCTTGGGGATTAAAATAACAGTTGGTTTATGTGCCAGTTGCAGCCAAATTTATCTATCCAACTAATTAGGGTCAGAAAGCCACTCTGCTAGGTGGCTTATACAAAATGTTTTTCCCCCAATAGATACACAGCTTTCTTTTCATAACATTCAAAGCAATTCATTTGTAAGGGATTTAGTTGTTTTTTACTCTTTATTCTCCTTTCTTTCACTCAATGGATTCAGTCCAATTCTATTCCATTTGGACTTTTCCTTGTTCTGCAGAAGTGCCAAAAGCATTTGGCTTGCATAAAAGTAAAAAGTGTACAATGTCTTTTTTTTTTACAGAGACACTGTAAAACTTTTCTGAGTGATCAGAGAGAGAGAGAGAGAGCAGCAGAGACAGAGAGACTGCTCTGTGCATTGAACTATTCACACATCATGTGGAAATACTTGATTGGTGAAGTGAGTTGGCAGTTTTTTCTTTCATTTTATAGAATTGTTAAATTCATGTCCAAGTCAGCCGCATTTGGTCAATGTGAAATAACAGTTGACAAGCAGGGGAAATGAACTCTCCTTCGTTATTCATTGATCCCATTTCACTTTAAAAAAGGATTATTTGCCTTATTCATAGAACAACAACTCCTGGATTTGTCCAATATAATGCACAAGCATTTTTTTTATCAGTTTAAGATAATCCTGGAACTTCCTTGTTCTTTTTTTGTGTAGGACAATATTTTAAGTTACATTGCCACTTTTATCCTGCTCTTATCTACTTAATTACTAAATTTCTAAAGGCACTTGTCTACTTTAAAAAAAACTGTCAAAAATGTTTGCCATTTTTTGGTTCTTATCATATATTCAGTTTATTCTGTAAATTATTTTTTAAGTCAGAAATGACAAATAAGAAAATCGCAAGTCATATATGTCTATAAAAGCTAGGGGTCTCTTAAGGGTCTTCTAAAATTGCTAAGAAATATGTATACATAAGAAAATCATAGTATATTTCATTAATTGTATTATCTGAAATGAAAATGAAAATGAAATTATGTCAAATGCAATTATTGTGAGGACAGAAATTGTTGTATTGATTTTTGCAAGCTCCTCTAGGGCCCTTTTTAGCTGAAAAGCACATAACTACATATAATTATGTATTTATATTTCATCTTTATTTCATCATGAAATTCAAGGAAGCACACATTAGGATTCCCAGATGTCTTTTCATGCAGCTATTAGCAAGATCAATAAAGGCACAGCTTCAGCAGGATTATTTCATCGAATGCTTCAGTCACACTGGTTCCACTTGCTCTAAGCTCCCGAAGATTTCCTGACTTGAAACTGATCAGGTGAATCGATAAGGTTCTGAATGGAGATTCAAATACTGTTGCCTGCTTTTTTCCCTCAGAAAACATTGGGAGAATCCCTGGTGAAACCCAATATTTCATTTCAAATTCATTTCTGCAGCTGAGTTTCCTAGTTTTCATGTTAGGAGCCTATGCAATATCCAAGCATGCTTTGAGTAGAAATATTCCACTTCCATCTTACATCTATCTTATTAATATTCATTAATGTAACACATTTGCTGCCTGAACATGGTTTTCTCAACGAATATTTAATGTTTATGAGGTCTACATACAGTATATCACATAGAAGGAATAAATGGGAAAATGTATAAAGGGTGGAAGATGGAGGGATTGAAAGTTTGCAGGATTGTATGACTATATCATAAAGAGTATACTGAGAATCCAAACACAAAATCCAATTGGATTGGGATTTGGGAATATCATTTAGCACATTAATGAAGCCAGCCCTGGGAACGATTTATTCATCTTTTTTCATGAAGCTGTGTCTTCTGATACTTAAGATATTACTTGGTGAACTTTTGACCCACTTATTACAACATTAGTGGACATTAGTGTTACATTCCAAGTGCAGCAAATATTTCTTTAAAAAAAAAAGTATGATGATTCTCTTAGCTGCTGTTTTTAAAAGCTTTAAAGGGGACAAGCTTTGTTTAACCTTAGGAATAGTAACATAGCAATTGTCTTTTTCTCAGGATCTTCAATCCTTTCAACAAAACTTGGGTAATAAACAGTAACAATGCTGTAGGTGTGGTAATAAACTACAGATGTAAGAAATAAGCTACAGATAGTATTCAATTTATGATTGCAACTGGGACTAGATTTCATGTTTTCTTAGGTATTTCCAGTCATAAATGGAGGTACCCACATGATTGAACCTGATCTTGCAACAGTTTTTGTAACAGGTTATAAAGCAAATCTGCATTAAGCCAATGCTACATTCATAACTAAACATATTCTTATGAATGGGTGGTTTTTCTTGAAACTGATAAAAATATCACAAATTGCAGTCACATGACTGTGAGATATTGCAACCAGTCGTAAAGGTGAACCAGTTCCCAAGGATCTGAAACAAGAATCCCAAACCCATGTAGTATTTTTCTCTGCATTTCGAATTTTTAAAAAGTTTAACAGAATAACAGCGCTGGAAGGGACTTTGGAGGTCTTCTAGTCCAACCCCCTGTTCAAGCAGGAAACCCTATAACATTTTAAACAAATAGTTGTCCAATTTCTTCTTTAAAACCTCCAGTGTTAGAGCAGCCACATTCTTTAGGCAAGCCATTCCACTGATTAGTTACACAAAAGACCCAGGGCTTTTTTTAAAAAAAAGAAAGAGAGAAAGAAAATGGTGTTTTTAATGTATTTTCTCAATCATGCCCCTAATTTATTTGACACTTTTAGTGTGTACGATTTTGGACTTACCTGCCGTGTCCTGGTAGAAATGATTGCTCAACATCCACTGAAAGTAAGGCCATGGCTGAGACTGCCTCTGTCTCCTCTCTCTCTTGGGTTTCAGCCAGCTTACAGCTAACTGGCACGATGTAAGGCTTCACAGACTTCCAGTACTTCCCTAAAGAAAACACACCATAATTTATGGGAAATTTCACTAGCATGGTGGTATAAGCCCAAGTAGTTGCTTACGTCCAGCACAGAGAGCTTCTAAGTATATGAGTATGAGTAACTGGGATTCCAAATGACTGTGATGAAGTTATGGCTCTCAATGCCAAGTTGGAAAGTTCTCTCTCTTTCCAAGTTCTATGTCACAGCCTTCTGAGAAAGTAATAAACTGAAAAGATCATCACAGAATTTAATGAACTTTGAGCATCCGAGAAGGAATCACTGAGGATTTATTTCCTGTAGTGTGAGTATTTACTACACTATCAATCTGGCATTTCTAAGAACTGGAAGATACATTGCTCACAACTGTAAGTAGGAAACAGGATTGGTGAAGAGAAAAAGCAATCCAGAAATGACTATGACAGAGTTAGGAATTAGAAGACCAGAACAGATCTTTCTAATAATTATGCCATCAGAAAAAATTGTTAGTTCTAGATGTTCTTTCATCTGCAAACATCGGGAGATGTACTAGAACAATAATTTATTTGACATGATTATATGCACTGGAATTTTCCCTTTTTATTTTGATGTCTTTGAATCAGTGTTGATTCCTAATGACTGCCTTGTTAAGTCCCTGAAGTTTTCTTGGCTAGATTTCAGAGGTGGTTTCCCTTTGCCTCCTTCTTAGGGTTGAGAGACAGGGACTAGCCCAAAGTCACCCTGCTGGCTTTGTGCCTAAGACAGGATTAGAATTTGTGGTCTCCCAATTTCTAACTCAATGTCTTAACTATTATACCAATCTATCTCTCTATGATATATGGTCATATTTTTTAGGAAAGCTTTCAAAAGAGATAGGAAAAGAAATAATGGTTCATGAACAAGTTTGGCACAGACTAAGGAACAGTGGATAGAAATCAGGAAGGGAACAGTGGATAGAAGCTAGGTCTCCTTTAGGCATGAATGGTGGCTGGGTAGCTGTGGACCAGTCATATATTTTTCAATCCAACCCACCTCACTGTTGGGTTGCTGTTATTGAGAAAATAGGAGCATTAGGTGTGCCATGAGATGACTAAAACATCTCTTAAAAATGCAGGATAAAATAATAATGACAGTAATATAATCTTTGGGTTTTATAAAAAAAAAGGTTTTTAAAATCCTGCTGGTGATAACATTTTTTAAAAAAAGAAACAAACCAGATAAATAAATAAACAAAAATATTATGGATTATGAATAACATTATTAATAGCACTCACTTATTTTTCTGATATCATTAATTTCCCTTTGGTGTGTCCTCCAGGTGTGCTAGAATTGACACCAAAGAACAATTTTGGGACTTGGGTTCCTAGCACATTGATGGAAGGAATCAATTTAATGAAATCTGACTTCCTGCTTTCTAATTGGGAATGTGGAACACATGAGTCTGAGTAGGTTTGTATTTCTTCCAAAGATCTGCTACAGATAAGTTCAAGAATATTCCTGGGAACTTAGAGTAGACTTTATGGAGAGGACAGTTTTTTCATAGAATACTCAAACCATTTTCAAACTCATTGGTGTAATGACTTTGAACCTTTTCAGATCCCTAGAGGCTAGAACCTGCAATCTGCATATGAAGCAACAAAGGGTCTTGTGTCACTTTGAAGACTAGTACATTGAATACACCTTAAGCTTTTGAAAATTCTGCTTAACAGAAGGGATAAGTTAGAAAAACCTAAATCTGAAATGAAAGTGTGCATTAATTCAAAAATTTCAGATTTAATTGGTTCAATTAAATTCCAAACTTTGCTGTTTAAACATATATGGAAAGCATCTTTTATAGTGAACTGTTTTTATTGACCATGTTAGGATAAATTCAGAATTTTCAGTATAGCCACCACTGCTTTTTTTTTTTTTTGCTACACTATGCCATATGTCTCTAGGGTGACTTGCATCACTTAAGCTGGTTGTATCATATCAAACCTTGGTATGATCCTTGAGAAGTTGGGTGGGAAAGCTCTTTTGGTTTCTTTTTCCAAGCTAAAAATAGTCAATGAATCTCAGCAGACATCAAGTTGTAGTACATTTAGTGCTGGAGTGAGGTCCTCTACTATTCTATCAGCCCATATTTTGCTAGAAGACTGCAAGCAAAGGTAATCACATACTGTATATGAGAAGTCTGTGCTAGGTTTCCAGCAATGAGAAGGTGAGTTATTTTTATTAAACTATATTACAATCCAGCTGTAAATACAATGATTTGGAACTAAACTGGAAGCAACTTCCTTTTTGCTGTAATACAGTCTAAATAAAAAGACAGTTTCTTTCATCCATCTGTTTTCTAAATAGGTATTCTTATTAGAAGCGGTAAAATGGCTAAGAAGAAGGTAAAAGAAAACTAGCTTGATCAACTTATGTAACATGATAGGGAGACAGTTCCTTTGAAAGAAATTACCAGAACTCCTTAAGTTGTTACTAGGATCTATATATAATGGAGGATTTTATGGGGATAAAGTCTGAAATACATTACAAAATTAAGATTCCCAGCTGCAACCCTATACCCACTTAACTTAGACTAAGTCGCATCTGAACTCAATAGGACTTGCTTCTGAGTAATGTATGAAAATGCACTAAAAGCATCAGAAAATTGGCTTTTTTCCAACTTGTAAAATGCTTGACGTTCCCCACGTCCTCCTGTGTTTAAGGTACTATAATTGTTAGATCTGGAAAAATAGCTTGTACAAATACAAAAATAACATTGTTATCAAACTACTTAGAAACTACAATAAAACAAACAAACCAAGTTATAGAGATGTTCCACAATGTTCTCACAGACCATGAAGCCACAGTTATCATTTTAAAAAGTATTCAATCCCATTTATCTATGGATTTCAGTGTTCACAAAATGGGTGATTCAAGAAAAAGCATATGGGTAAGCAATTGAAATATATTGCCATAGGAATTATACTCTACTTTGCTATAAATGAAATTTATTTATTTATTTATTAAATTTATAGGCCGCCCAATCCCGGAGGACTCCGGGCGGCTTACAAAGGAAGAAGAAAAAGAAAAGCAAAATAAAAGAATAGTTTAAAATTCACAACACGCATACATTCTAATCAGGGCTGGACGTTGACAATAAATGATATTCCATGGTTCTCACAAAATCTCACAAATGTGCCAATAACAACTGGCCAAAGTAGAGACACTTTCACTTTTCCTATTCCTTTCAATGAAATCAGCACAACACTCAATGTTCTCATGTTTGCTTTGATCATTTTTCTAAGCAGACAGAATGAAAATGTATTATAACACTCACAAAATTGTGTTAAGTTCTTTTTTGTTAACAAAAATGTAAACTATCCCAAATATTTCCCTGTCAGTTGTGGAAATAAGATTTTTTTCTTCTTATTCCTTTTTCTTTTTCTTTGCAAAACGACTGTGTTTTGCTTAGTGGGAGGCAATGAAGTTTTGTTGTTGAAGTGCCTTTGTGTTATATAGAAATCTTGTTTGGGAAATTTAGTTTTGAAAGAATCTTTTCCATACAATTGCAAACACCCGTTCTGATTATTGGTACTATCAAACAAAGGTTTTAAACATCTTAATGTGAAGCAATCAAGAGCTTTACTTTGTTTTAGAAATGGAAGAGGCCAACAAGCAGCTTTGAAGGGATGTTTGCATATATTTTTTTCCAAAGGAAAGCACCTTTCTGAAGTGTACAAGACTCTGCATGGGATGTACCATTAACAGATAGCTAAGATGGCAGACATTGGGAAATTCTATCAGTTACTGTACTGGGCTGGACTACAAGACTGTTGAGGCACTGATCATACGGCACAAAAACAGACACTAAGCAGCAGTTCCACCACACTAGACAGGACCCAAAGTGCAGACAATTCAACACATAGTGGCAGCTGGCATTGTGTACAAGAACATTTGCGTAAGATATGCCATCCCAGAGAAGATTGGAGAATAAGAAAACGAAGATTCGATGAGACTTCCTTATCGTGACAAACAAGCAAGTACCAGCCAATCTACCAGACATTATGATAACAGATAAAAGACCAAAAGACAGCCATGTGATAGATGTAGTGGTGCCAACTGATAGCAAATCAGGAAGAAAGAGTACGAGAATCTAAAGAAGTACAAGGGCCTGAAGGAGAAATTGGACATGATATGGAAAATAAAGTGGTTCCAGTAGTGGTAGGGGCTGTGATTGCTAAACTAGGAGAGTAGCTATGAGATCCCAGGAATGAGATCAGAACTCTGTCCAGAGTAGTGCAGGGCTAGGAACAGCTAAGATTCATTATGATGCTGTAGTCTCAAATTCCCAGATCTCTGGTAGAGGACTCAAGTTGAAGAAACATACCATCCATAAGAGGAGAAGACATTAATCAAAATTCAGGATTTATTCACATTTAGCTTTGACAATGCTAATTTTCTTCTCTATAAATTCCACAAAGATGCATTGGTGGAGAATAGAATAGAATAGAACAGAACAGAATAGAATAGAATGTTATTCTATTGGAGTTGAAAGGGACCTTGCAGGTCTTCTAGTTCAACTCCCTGCCCAGGCAGGAAATCCTATATCCGGGATGGCAAACCTATGGCATGTATGCCACAGGTGGAATGCAGAACCATTTGTCAGGGCATGCAGCCATTTTTAAAGCCATTTTCGCCCTCCCCAGGATTCAGAGGCTTTATAGGAGCCTGGGGAGGGTGAAGACAGTCTACTCCCACCGGAGGCCCTCCAGAGGCTTCAGGAGCTTCCCCCCCCCCAAAAAAAAACGGTCCTAGGGGCAAACCAGAAGTTTGGGAATGGACTTCCGGTTTGCTCTTAGGGCCGATTTAAGCCCTCTGGAGGCTTCAGGGATCTTCTGGAGACTTCCATGAAGGCTCTGGAGGACTAAAAATGACCCAACGGAGAAAGCGGAAGTGACTTCTAGTTTGCTTGTAGGGCTGTTTTTAATCCTCTGGAGCCTTCAGGGAAGCCTCCTGAAGATCCCTGAAGGCTCAGGAGGACAAAAAACGGTCCTACGAGCAAATTGGAAGTTCATTCCCAAACTACTGGTTTGCCTGTAGGGCTGGTTTTTTGCACTCCGGATGCCTCAAGGAAGCTCCTGAAGCCTCAGGAGGGCCTCCGGGGGCTGGGTAAGGTTGTTTTTTTCTCTCCCCAGACTCCTATAAAATCGCTGGAGACTGAAGAGGGCAAAAAAAGCATGCAAAAAATGGGGGAGCACCTGTCATGTGTGCATGCATGCTGGTGGGTTCGTGCATTGCATTATGGGTGTGGCCTGCCATGCATAACCACTCTGAGCTCCCCCCGCTTATGGCACATGAGCCAAAAAAGGTTCGCCATCACTGCCCTATATCATTTCAGACAAATGGTTGTTCAATCTCTTTTTAAAAATTTTCAGCATTCCTCTGGTCCACTAATTTTGTCACTTTGTTGAAGAATGCAATAAGATTTGTCTGCATGATCTGTTTTTTTACAAGCCCATGTTGGCTTTTGGTTATGACTTTGTTTGCCTCTAGATCAGGGGTGTCAAACGTGCGGCCCGTCACACGTTGGCCATACCCTTGTTTGGTTTAGCAAAGGGAGAAAAAGTCCTGATACGCAGTGATGATGTAAATTTGGCACCCCTGTTCTAAATGGTCACTGATAGTTCTGCAGTTTCCTGGATTTATTCCCCCCCCCCTTTTTGAAGATGGGGACTACATAAGCTCTTTTCAAATCCTTTGGTAGCTGCCTGGGGGTACAGGATCTTGGAAAGATATAGTTTAATGATTCTGAGATCACGTATGCCCATTCCTTCAGAACCTTGGGGTGTAATCCATCTGTTCATTGACTTAAACACATCTAGGGTAGAATGGTGCTCATTTGCCATTTTCTTACCTATTTTAACTTTTACTCCTAATCTGTTTTTTTATGGCAGTTTTTGATAGGTTGAGCTGTTTTTTTCCCCTTTTGTATAAAGGCAGAAGCAGAAAATGAGTTAAGCAGTTCGGCTTTCTCCCTGTTGCTTGTCGCCTTCTTTCCACTTTCTCCCATTAATGGACCAATTGTTTTCTTGACTTTTTTCTTGTTTTTTTACATATTGAAAGAAGCTTCTTTTGTTGTTATTTTTGACTTTTGTTGCAAGCCTTAGTTCATTTGTGCCTTAGCTTTCCTCACTTCATCTTTGCACATTCAGGCTAATTGCTGATATTCTATCTTAGTTATATGCCCCTCCTTCAATTTTTTATACTTGTCCCTTTTACCTTTCAATTTATCAGACAGTTCTTTATAAAGCCATGCTGATTTCTTTTGAGAAACTGTTTTTTTCTTCATTTGTATTGTGCTAGACTGTGCTTTTATAATCTCACTTTTTAAAGTTTTCAAAGTTTTCCCCTTACGATTCTCATCCATGGAATCCTTTCCAAGATCTCTCTAACTTTATTGAAATTAGCTCTCTTAAATTCCAAGACTCTAGTTTGACTTTGTTCTATTGCTTATGCTGGCATAATGTTGAATTCCAATATTCCAAGGTTCCTGTATCTTGAACACCTATCATTTCTTTTCTATTAGTGAGAATTAAGTACAATATGGCTGATCCCCTAGTTACCCTCTCTACTTTTTGGGAAACAAAATTGTCTGCTAGGTTTTCAGGAACATGCTTGACCTTCCATTTGGTGCCGAGTTTGTCTCCCAGTTGATGTCAAGGTAATTAAAATCCTGCATTACTATTGTGATGTGCTTCCTACGTACCTAATTAACTGACTAGCATAAAGTTCATCTATTTCCTGTTAGGTTGGGTGGCCTATAGTATACACCTATGGCAATGTCATTTCCCCCCTTTTATTTTGACTCAAATGCATTCAAAACAGTTTTTAATCATTGTTGTCCTCTGTTTCTGTAGATATGTAATTATTTTTTACTTATAGTGAAACTCCACTTCTTCTTTTATTTGGTCTGTTTATTTTAAATTATTTAAATTCCGCTAACTATAGCCATTGATCCAAAAAGATAATTTGAACATAATTCAAACATGGGTTATATAAAAATGAGAATCTAATATCATAAAATATTAGTGTGACTGCAACATTGAAAAAAAAGTGCAAGAATGATCATGTATTTTTTTTATATTTCTGAATTTATATAGATTAATGTCTAGGACAGTGGTAGCTAACCATTTTGTTGTTGGGTGCCGAAAGAGTGTGCACACAACCACCCCCCCACACGCCCTGACCCCAGGCACGCAGGGGGTGACCCGCTTGTGCTCCCCTCATTGCCTACGCAATGCCACATGGACCTCATGCATGTGCCCCGCCCAGTGGTAGGTTCTGGGTGGTACGGCTCAGTACAGCCATACCAATTGTCAGGAGCAGCAGCCACTGTACTGGCACGGTGGCTCGTTTCGCCCACCCGCCCATCTGCGTTCCATACCTGTTTTTGAAGCAACCAACTGTGCACTCGCGCTCAGCGTGCGGCGCCTGCATGACCTCCGGTGAGCAGTTAGATGTCGCAGGGGTGGTAGAGTGTGCATGCATGCACAGCATACATCAGGCGCGTGCATAGCGCTAGTCCAACACATGCACAAACAGACTACGAGCAGTGTATTGGTAGCAGCGCTAAGAGCAACCCACCATTGGCCCCACCCCATGTGCACATGAACCCCCCGTTCCCCTGCCAAGCATGCACATGCTTCTCCTGCATGTGCCCTGCCCCTGGGCATGTGCAATAGAGACCCCAAAAATAGGTGGCCAGCAGGAGGTGTGCACATATGCGCATAGGAGTTGAGCCAGGGTAAGGCTTACGTGCCCGCAGAGAGAGCTCTGCATGCCACCTGTGGCACACATGCTATAGGTTCACCATCACAGGTCTAAGACATAACACTCCATACATCATAATAGTTGATGACTACAAGTTTAACTTATCAATGTGCTAATAGCAAAGCATATTAGTGTAGTTCAAAAGGAAGTGAAAAACATTGGGATTTAACAATGAAATACAAAGTGTATGGAGTAAATATTTAACACCATAGCTAACAGAGCAACAATAGCAAAAATAGAAGAGTTGTCAAAATGGTTGAAAACATTAGAATTATTTACCTGTACAACATTCATCTTACAAAAATAGCTATATTTAGAATTGTACACATATTACGGCAATATTTTGGAAACCCACATACGGTAAGACCAGTATGTATTTTTAGAGAACAAAATTTGAAGTACCCATATAGCCAGAAAAATAAAAAAAGTAAATTAGAACGGGGTAGAAAATATACTATGACATTGCAGCCAATGCTGAGGATCAGCCACTGTTAGTTGCTTTCTGATTTGCCTTAATTTTCTTTCAAAATTCAAATGTGCCACCAGCTCCAAAGATTATGGGCTCTAAAATGAGCCCTGTCATGCATCTAGAAATGTCAAGTTCCTCAATATATTTTGTACTACAAACGATAAATTTTTATCCATGTCTTTCAATAGAAACAGTTGCCCAGGTATTGAAAAGTTTAGGTTTATGGGAGAGCTGCCAAAACAAACAAACAAACAAAAAAACCCAGGTATCTTTGAAACTTCTATTAATGGAGGGAGAAAGACAAAATCCACCAGATGACTACATGCCATGACTAGTCATAAAAAAATGACTTGTTTACATATCCTAAAAAGCAGTTCGGTTAATAATAGCAATACTAAATATTTAGGGATAAATTATCCCTAAAACTTACTATGAATTGCAGTGGATTTTTGCAAAGAAACCATTGCATTCACATTAGGTGTTTGATGAAGGAGGTCTTCAGAGATGGGTTCCAACTGAAAATAAAACCAGAAGAAATCAAATACAAAAGGGTGTAAATATACTGAAAATTCAGTGGAAGCAACAGTATATTAAAAATATTGAATTCTGAAACTATCAGTTAGAGAGACAACTTGTTGTGACTCTTCCTTGCTGTTCCATGGAGAGAAAGACAGTTTTTACTTTCTATTTTTCAACCATGTAATTGAATTCCAAGGGAGCTTTCCAATGACTGCAAGACTAATTTACAGAGACTCTTGAGCAGGTGCATGTCTATGTAATAGTCATTTAAAAATGTTAGTTATTTCGGTAATTTGGGTAAGCTACTCACAAATCAAATTCCATTGTGTCTATACGTGCAGCTGTACACCAAAACAAAACATTACTGAAGCTGCTTTAGAATTCAAAAGATCATACAATATCAACATCCATCCCATAGTTCATATGACTAAAATAAAAAATGGAAAATTCACATATTAATTTGATGTGCATTACACAATACCTGTGAATTAAACATATTATTATATTAATATAGCATTGTATGTACAGTACAGTTATGCCTTCTAATGTTGAAATTTGTCTTCATATTCCTGTATAACCATGTACATGAACTTACTTAGATTATGGAAATATTGTCACTGTTTACACAGGCTTGTCATCTGAGTACACAACTTTATAATGTGGTACAATTATTTTGTAAGTAAGTAAGTATATATGTATGTAAGTAAATAATACTTACAAAATTAATGAGAATTTGGTAGTTGCAGTGTTTGCAACTACTTAAATTGGGAAGATAAAAGCCCAGTAATCATGTTATCCCAATTGCCCTACCCACAATTCTAGAGATTATTTGGATGTTAACTAAAATAATTATTTTCCTTGTATTAGCTTTAACATATTTATTTTCCCGACTGATATATTTCATTCTCAATAAAAATGGTAGGTTTATTGGAATGACGTTATTTGTAGAGCTATAACTGCAATAAGGAATACTTTAGACAAATGAATATATTTATTGAAAAGGGAGACATGTTGTTGATAACACTTCACCAAAAGGCTAATAAAATTAGTTTCTAAAAGCATCAAAAATGCAAATCCAGCTCGGGAAACTAATGTTACTATGGGTCATATGTGCATACGGGTGGTTCCAATAATATTAATGGATGAGTATAACAGATACAATTTATAATTTAATTGAAATGCAAATTGAACCTAAGTAAATATAGTAAATAATAATATAATTATTGTTATATCTTTTATCTCCCTTTGTGTCACCTTAGTAGCTTTAGCAAATAGCTAAGAATTCATTTTAGAACTTTGGCCTCAGTTCCTGTTAGCTTCTGCACCATTTCAGTAAAACCTCATCAGAATCCAGAGGTGGAATCATTACGCTCTCACCTTTTGTGACCCAGATGCACTCTTGTTAGGAATCACTTTAAAAAAACAGGGATTGTAACAAATCATTTTTCTTTGAGAGGGAGAGAATCTGTATTTCAGAGAATAATTTCTGATGGCAATGATCCATTTTTAAAAATCATTAAACTAAATAGACAAGAGGGTGTCCCTGGAAAATATCATGAGACCTAGCAGTGAACAAAAGGAATCACTCTATAGCTGACAGATATTGCAACATCACCTTCACTCCTACGCTTCTTGGCATTCTATTAGCGCTGGAGCCAAAGAGCACAAAAACTGAAAGAGTGGAAATACATCTTTATAAAAGAATTTTACATAAACAACTGACTAAGGTCAGTGCAGGAGCAACAGAACCAGTTGACGGATATGCTTGAAAAGATACACCAAGGGATATTTTTTAAACAGTTGAAGCTAACCCATTTGGCCTCTTCAATGTTTTCTTGCATTTGCAATTAAATTTGGGTATGTACTGTATGAGAAAAGGCATTTTCAAAGAAATAAGCGCACTGGGTGAAGGAAGCCAAGGTATATTGAGCCTTTATAAAGAAATGTGAGCTCACTGCACAATCATGCCCAGTTTTATATAAAAATGGGAAATTTGAGACGGAAGAAAATACTTTGTAAAGAATTGGTCCATTTCTTCATGACTCAGCAGTTTTCTGTTCCAGTGTCTCAAAAAATTCTTATTCCTGCCCTAAGATTTGAGATCTTGCACTTACATGTATCCTGTGTGTTGATATTTAATTCATTCTCAATTCTACGAAGATAAAGATTCAACTGCATGGCTTAAGTCTATTCCTCTTAAGGGATTTTTTTCCAGTGTCACTTCCACTGCCTTTATTCAGTAACTTGAAGATGCAAAGTTAGTCTCACCATGGTCAGCATTCTGCAGCCTCTGGGCAGCAGGTGTTTCCTTCCTGTCTCCCCAAGTCAAGGTTCAAAAGACTAAAAGCAATCAAGTTATTCTGGCACCTGAGGGAGAAAATTTCATGTTCTACTTTTCTTTAACCAAAAAACACAAAAAATAAATGTAATAATTGTCACATGTTCTGCTCTTTCAATTGCATTACATCCCAAATCAGCTGTCAGAGGTGGCTTGTCTCATTTTATCTAATGGCAGGATTGGTCCTAAGTATGAGCTTTAGGATGAGAACTTAAAAGTCAACCTAACCTTAGTTTTCTTTAGCAAAAGTTCTGTTCAAGTCAAGTGCTATGTATTTTTTAATCACAAAGAGCTTTTCTTCAGTTATAATTTCTGGTAAAATAAGTAAGAGATTATCAGAAAAAAAATCCTTGCTTTTAAAATAGTGATCTCATGCTATTATCTCAAGCAATTAGTCATCTAAACAATTTATCCTTTGCAGTTCAAGCTTTTCTTCTAATTAGTTGGAACAACAGGTCTCTTTGTTTTGATAGTTGCTTATATAATGAATGGATTTGCTTTCAAATCACCAACTGAGTGCGTCATGAATATCTTGAAGTAGCTTAATCTCCCTTGCCCCAAATACCTCAATTAAGGATTCAGTATTTTTACTTCAGATTTTAGAAGGGAGCTAACTGCTTAATCTTTTCACACTTCTCAAAAGAATATCCCTCTTAGTGGCTCCCTAGGGAAGTTTAGAAAGAGATTTTAAAGCGAAGCAACCACTAGTTCCTGCCAAATTGGTTTCACCCAAGCTCAGCAGTCACATAACTGAAATAGCAAAGGAGGCCCAGGCCTGCTCTTACTATACTCCAGAATCCCTGTTCACTCCTGACATTTTCACATCAGATGTTAATATATGAAGTGAGATCCTTTATACATTTGGCATGGCATCCTTTCAACCGGAAATATCATCTGCACAGGATTCCACATCATGACAATATTTTAAGCATTGGACTTTTTCACTGAACATAACATGGTTAGCCCCCATGGATTTGTTCTTCTCCCACTTTAAACAAGCCTCTGGAAACCTGGGATATAGGTTCAGTTCATCTCCCTTCTAGCTTTAAAAGGTGATGATAAAGTGACATAAATACTCTTGGGAAAAAGCAAACTGATTCTCATTGTAATACTGTAACCTTAAAACTTTACATTTAGAAGTTGGTCCCACTGGCTTCATAGGAATGCAAGTAAGTGTGATTTAGATCCAAGTTAGGTTTCTGTATAATTTCCAAATTTGGGCTGTAGTCCAAAGCACACATACTTGGAAATCAAATACATTGAAATTAATGGGACTCCCTTCCAAGTTAAATGCATTATAACTGAGGCATAATATTCCAGGGCAGCACAATTGGTTCTTGTTGTGTCTTTTCTACTGATCAAACAAAAAGAATTCAGGAATAGATTGTTTTGTTGCTTGCTTTCCTGAAATTTTAGAAGAGCTAATCCAAATGAGTGTGCAAGGACTACACTATATATGGTAATCAAGTAACAATACAAGATTATAAATTATGTTAAATTGATGAAAGAAACAATACACAACTGATATTGGTTTGGCTACGCCATCTCAAAGGGTATACATCAAACCAGAACAGCCAGAGATGAACTGAAAGCTGATGCTATTTTATAGCATGATGAATTTCATAAGCAAATAGTTCTGGGATCCTATTAATGGGCTAGACCAGAAGGTTGAGGGAGCACTCTCATGTAATAGAAGAAGTTTTAAACCTGCTTATGCTAGAAACCGTGGCTTTACAATGTTTGTGAAAGGGTTATCTGAGGTGCAAAAAGTCTGACAATCAAGAGAAGCTGGTTGCATTGTTTCCCCATGATTTAACTTATAACTAAGTGCATCAAAGTTAAAAAAATATTCAATTAATTTGTAAATTATGCAGTGATAGGCCTTATATTCTATTACAGGTATACCTCGACTTAAGGACCACAGTTGGAACTAGAATTTCCATTGCTAAGCTATGAACCTACATTGCGGGGGCAAGATGCTGACTTTGTAAATTGCTTAGAGAGGACTGTAAAGCACTGAGAAGTGGTATATAAGTCTAAATGGTAATACTAATACTAGGCAGTAAATAACGCTCAATTTCGTGATTTTTTTTGCTATAGTTGTTAAGTAAATTATAACAGTTGATAAGTGAATCTGGCTTTCCCCATTGATGTTAATTGCCTGACATCAATAGGAAAGGTCTTAAAGTATGACCACATGACCACATGACCACAGGATGCTACCACCATTTTAAAATGTATTGTTTGTCAAGCACCCACATTTTAATCACATGATCATGGGAATGTGGTGACAGTCATAAGTGCAATGATTGTCATACATGACATTTTTCAATGCCATTATATCTTTGGTCACTGTGAATGGTTGTAAATTCACAACTATCTGTAATTTTAATTTTTTTTTATCCTTAGGGTTTCTTTGTTTCCACCCATTTTTTATTTTTCAATATCTACATTTTTTTTACTTCTTGTTATTATTGTCATGTTTTTCATGTTTAAATCATTAGTAAACTGTTCAGAATCAGTTTGAATCAGGTATCATATAAATGTAATAAATAACACATAATAAAATTATATTTGTATAATTATATCCTTAAATGTTTAAATTATAAACAATCTTTCACTATTACATAAAATGAGTAACAGTAGCTAAGTAGAGCACAACATAGCTTCTCAACTGATTATTTCCTGTGCAAAAATCAGTTATATTTGTATGTGTATGATTTGTTTTTTTCTGGGATGTTTTCTTCAAAAAGAAAGAAAACATCCCAGATTCAAAAGCAAATTCTTGTGAAGCACTTCTTTTTGTAATTAATCTGTATCTTCAAGCCTGATTTGTTCATTGTGAATGTTTGGAAGTAACTGTTTTGCTTACAGTGGCTTATTTCATATGCATATCTATATATCTGCGTGCGTGCATGTGTGTGTGTGTGTGCGCGCGCATCTACTGAAAAGTTCTGTAGATGGAATAGCATACTGTTGCATGGACAGAGAAGCCAAGAACAACAATAGCAATACAAAAGTATTTCAAAGCCTGCTGCATTCATGTTTATGAATTCTAATCCTCAGCACATGAATAAATACATTTGACAAACTGCAGAGTGCCTTTCTGACCTTTCTAATTTGAGTTCAGTTGCATGTGCCATCATGAGAAGTCAGTGCTGGCCTTGCCAGGTTTTTTTTTTAAATGAAAGTGAGTGCAATGTTTATGCAATTTGGAAAATGGAGTTTCCACTAAAAAAAAGATTATAATTGTGACATTAATAGCCTTTAAAGAATTGTATCTCTAAATTATGGAAACCAGGACCTAGTCTTATCCTTTGGCACTTTGTTATTGAAGCTATAGGCTGAAATCAGCTTTTTAGCTGATTGTGTGGTAAATAGCTAAGTAGTTAATTTATTACTCACTAATGAATGAAATTCTCAACTGCAATGATTTTGCATATCTTCATTTAAATAAAGGAAATTAATCACTGGAAGATCAGATGTCTGGAAAAAAATGTCTTAGGGATAGATAACACACTTTGTCTGTTGGGCTGGATCCATGTAGGCAGCAATGACTTCTGTTAAAAACAGGCATTATTTTTCAAAAAAATATTTAGACTTTCCATTTTATGAATAGCTGATGAAACAGGTTTTCCACTATCACCATATTAAATTTCCCCACAAACGGTTTTTATAAGTACTTACAAAGGCAAAGTAATTCTACTGACCTTTACCCCTACTTCAATAATAGATTATAAATCCAGCATAGTATGACAAATATCCAGGAATTTTACATTGTTTTATTAACTTTGAATATTCTGGTTACCTCGTTTCCCAGTAAAACATTTAGACAAGCTTCTGATGCATCACAGATGGCAGTAAGATCATGTCCTCCCTCTAGGGCTAGCACCATGCGACCACCTGCCAGTGTCAACAACTGTTTGATGAGGTGGCCAAAACCTGTCATGTCAATAAAATGTACAAATCAATATATTAGAAATATATGTATGAAATAATCACTGCATATTAGAATGTATTGGAAACATGAAGAATGAACCAGTGATAGCGCTTTCATTTTTAAAACCTAATTTGGATTCAGAACCACCAACCCATGACATCTACAAATACCCTGGAAATAATGTAGAAAAACAGAAGCTTTTTTTTACCAAATTGTGAAATTGGTGACCCTTATTAACTTGTTTTATTAGCAAACAATTCATGGTTTGTAAGATATTGTTATCAATCAATATGTTGTTATCTGCAATAAATTCCTTTATATCTGTGGTTTGAAGTACGTGATACTGTTTGGAGAGGACTTTTGGATATTTGGATGGAATTATATGCATATGTAAAATGGTAGGTGTGCATTTGTGGATTAAGTAATTTTTTTCAAGGTCTTGCTACCCATTGTTTTGTTATCTGGTGGTTAAGTTGGAATGGGACACCAGCAAATAATGAGAATTACCTAAAGATTCATGCATTCAAAAAACTTTACAGTATAATTTTGGGCATATCTACACCAAAGATTTGCCTGAATCCAAAATAAATACATTGCACTGAAGCCAAAACATTTTATGCTTTTGTGCCACAAGAATTCTCTGTACAATAATGGAGACAACCACACTCTTACAATTAGCCCACAGCATAGAAGCCTGTGAAATTCTTCAGAGGTATACTCTGCCCACTATCTGACATAATTGTGCTAATGACATTAATGAAAAAAGAACTAAGGAAAGTATATTTGTGGCAGATTAGTAAAAAGAATATTCTAAAAAACTGAAAAGGTACTCAGCAACATCCAACAGAAATCTCCTCTGTGAAAAGTGCTAAGAATTCCTCAGCAGCAAGTAAGTCACAGATCTTTCTTTTTTCTTTCTTTTGCTTTTTGTTTTTTTGCAGAAGCACTCTCCTTGAGGCTTACAGGAAATATCAGCATGGAATATTGACTGTTAACTCAGAAGATGATGCCAGATGTTAATTTTTCAAAGAAAGCTGCCAGCATTCATGTCTACTGGAAATCATAGCATCTGAAGAGGAAACCCTTGTTCCTTTGTTCCTCAGAAATGGTCAGAAAGCATAATCAGTGATGGAGCAAATACACACTGGTTACACTCAGAAGAACTATTTTCACATAGTCCTGGCAACTAGTCAAGAACTGGAGTAATTCTGGAAAACTCCATTTCAAAAAAAAATCCAGGACAATGCTCATACCTCTTAGCAGTCCAGTTTCTCAATAGGGAAAAAAATAGTTGTATACCTGCAAATACTGTGGGGTTACTAATGCTAACAGCCAACAAAATATCATTACACTTTTGTCAACCTAATTATACACAGTTATCCAGGTTACTTTGTTGTAGGTCATGGCAATGTTTTAGCCAACAGCACCATGACAGCTGAATTATGGAAAAACTTAGGACAAATTTGGATCTTGTATATTCCAACAATTTTCAAAAGAAATTAATTTCCTAAAGAAAATCCCCTGCAGTGATCAAACATCAGAATAGTGAAAATAAAATTCTAGAAATAATTAAGGAAAAAAGAAAAATTAAAGCAAAACCAACTATTGAGTCACTAGCTTTAGAGAAGAGGCCCTGTTCTCTTTTATCACAGAATAATAAACTTTCCAAAACCTACTCCAGTTGGGTTTGAAAAAGGTATGGAAATCAGAAAGTGCATTCTTTTAGTTTTCACCTTCTGAATCACATAAAACCTCAAGAATCCACTATAGATCCTGACACAGGCCTTCCAAAAGTTACCATGGACTATTGTGCCAGTTGTGACCATGGTTTCTCAAGCCATTTCCATTTGGGCAGAATGTGCTATAAAGGAGGCATTTTGTTCTGTGGTATGAAAGATTTATACTTGTGTGGCATTTTCTGTGAACTGTAACTATTCAGGGGAAATTTTGGAATGGAAAGTCTTTTTTTTTAATGGAAAATCAAGATTTCTGTTGAGCCCTAAATAGACAATTTTTTAGAACCAACAATTTGGTGGGCGCCAACATTTATCAATTCAGTTCCAACTGTTTCTTCACACAATGGAGTTCCATTTACTTGACTGAGTTATTCTAAAAATTTTGGAGCAAAGTTTCTTATAAAATACCTCAGGGATAACTCAGTTGTGAAACTAATGAGAACTCTGGAAGAAGTAGATTATCTAAATCCACTTCAGTGCTACAGTTTGATGCTTTCTTGCCTCCTGTTCAACAATTGCGTGAAACTGCTGGGTGAGGTCAGCATACTAGTTTGGAATTCAGTACATACACTAATGATCCCTGCTGCCCAGCATTATCACTACTTGAGCTGCTTTATTTCATTGCATGGTTAACAGTGGACTCTTAGGGCTGAAATTGATAGTTTTTGGGAACTTTAACCTGTCACTTCGTGATGTTGACTCCAAGTGAGATCAGGAATTCATGGATTCTGGATCTCTCCCAAATGATAGAAGGTCCAATTTATTCAGGAAGTCACCAACTGGAACTGATTCTTATCTTGGGACAGTTGCAATGTGATCTGTTTTTTGAAAATATTACCATCAGTAATATAGATAGCTCCCTCTTTGATTCTGTTTAATTCTCTGGGCAACCACTTCTGCAATCTGTCCTGTCCTATGCCAGAGTTCTTCAACCTTTAGGGGGGGAGGTGATTGTTCTATATGAGTAATAGGAAAGGTCACATGCACCCACACCTCCATTTGCACAAGAGGTGGGCATGTGCCCCACTGCTCACGCAAATGGAGCACATGCACACGTTACCCACTGCTTGTATAAGTGGGGATTAGTGGATACATGCGCTCACCCACCACTTCCATAGCCTGGTTCCAAACCAGTCAAGGCCCAATAATGGGCCAAGGCATGGGGGTTGAGAGCCCCTATTGTAGGCAACTCATGGATGTGGTTGGATTCCAGAGAGAGCTTCAGTTTTTTTATGAAGACCAGTTAGGCACTTGGCCAAGGTCTTGGCTGCAGCCTGGAATAAACATATGATGAAGACCTTGAGTATATTGTTCTTCTGCAGCCTTTCTCTATGCATCAATCCCATATGCTCCCTGGTTTTCTAATGACTTCTGGCAAATGAAATGCCAGAAATGACACCCAGAGCACAACTGAGAAAGCCAAAGAGCAAATACATTGAATATGTTTGTGCACATATGGTGGTAAGGGTTATGAAATATTGGTATTTATCCACTCTTATTGCATTTGCAGATAATCTTTAGGATGACCCACTCTTTATTGGGGTGGCTTGCACCTCATATCCAGGGCTCTAATAAGAAATATTCATGTGTCAGATAAAGTTACTCAGATTTGCTTGGAGTTGGATCATGATTGGGTAAGTCCTAAAGAGTTGCCCAGGGAATAGTCTTGTGATGATTTCAGGACTGCGTTTGATTCAGTAATGCCTGAGAAAGTGGACAAGATTCTTTTGTCCATAAATCCAACTACCCATTTACTACTGCAGGCCCATTAAGATCTATTTGTTTTCATCAAAAGTATAAATTGAGTTTCTCAGAAACAAACTTGTATACAAAGCAAATTGACAGTATATTACTACTCAAATATTCTATTGTTCTGTCTTTTACACAGTACATAATGATTATTTACCATTTAATCATCCCACTGGTCTTTAATTTGCTTAAGAATGTATTTTCCTCTCATTAAAGCCTTTGTAGTGGCCATTGCCAAGAGTTTTCCCACCCACCAGTGTTCTGCACTTTATCCTTGTGGTTCTTTTATGACCTCTTGATTAATTTTCATTGATATGCTTCCAACAATAGCATCTAAAATTAACTAGGTCATTTTTTTAAAATACAACTTCCTGAGTCATCAAGCTTGGTGTCCTAAATAAATACATCCCTACAAGAATGAAATAATAGTTCACTCTTCTAGAATCCGGCTGTGAGCATTGAAAAAAATGGTGCTAATTTTCCACTATTTATTATTACCATTTTATTTATTACATTTTACATTGCTTCTCTTCCTTGTAGAATTCAAAGTAACATGCAAAAGTATTATCTGAATTAGTCAACAATTGGTCAATACTTCACAACAGACTAAAATTATATTGAGAGACAGAAAATGTATCAGTTTTATCTGCTGAAAACCTGATGGAGGTACAGGTCCAAGCGAGTTTGGTGCATATTTTCCAGATGGACAATATCACACTGATCTCATTTGTGCAAAGTGCCCTCAAGAAAGCAGCTAGTCCTGGTTCTTATTTCATTGACTTTGAACTCTGGCCCTGGCTCTTTTTCTACTCCATATTCCTCTGATACCATGATATATACTCTTAAGTGGGCTGGAAGAACTAGCATTGCAAAGCCCAACGAAAACCAGAGCAAGGTTTACCCAAGGTAAGACCATATTGTGACAGCCAGCTATCTCTGGAGGAGATGTCTTCCATTTCAGTCTATCAATTCAGCAACCACTGCCCATGAATTGGAATGACAGGCCTTGATAACTGCTGCCAGGATTAAAGGTAACTCACAGGTGCAGTTATAACACTTTGAGACCTGGTAATTGAAGTTCTCTTCAATCAGCTGCCAGCAACTGGGAAAAGATTAATGAAGGACCTAAAGAACAATTACCATCCTCTTCATTTTCACTATATTTAATTTTTCGCAACTCAAATTACCAAAATTTTGCAGATGTATAGAAACCAAAGAACTTCAGCAAATAGTGCTTGCAAAAAAGAATGAGAATATTTGTATTATTTAATAACCCTACTCAGATACTCCAAATCCAAATACTCACCACAGTACTGCAAGATGGTAGCCTGCTAAGAAATCAATACACATTCATTTGTATATAGAAATCTTCTTTCCTGTATACATTTATATTAAAACATATCATTTAAATTACACTGATGAAATGAAGCTTTATCAAAGTCCAACACCAGAATAGGATAACGGAATAATGTGAAAATGAATACCATCTCAAGAATGTCATGTAAAAATGTTTCTTTGAAAGTTTTTTTCCCCACAGACCTCAATTCAAACATGTCATTATAAAATATAATTTTCTTTTAGGCAATGGCTAGGATTTTCAAACCATTTAGTTTTTTAAAAATAATAAAGTAGTAAAGAATCATTACCTTAAAAAATCATTAGGAAAAAAAATTGTACTGTGTGACTTTTCATTGGTTAGATTGTAATTGTGTGCTAATAAATAGAAATAGTTTTAATATTTACTCTTCATGAAATAATCATTTAAATAATTAGTCTTTTCATTATGTGGGTGTTGATCTTACAATAATTGTTCGCAAGAATTCATCTATAATTGCTTAATTGGAATCTATTTAAACAAATCCATAGCAATTAAAGCAATACCTCATTAATCAAACTTGGCTGGTCTAATAGTGTATAGTATATAAATATATATCTAACTAATAGTATACAGTAGCATTCATGATTAGCTTCTAAGTGTGCAACAACCAATTGATTCAAGTACTTATAAAAATGAACAAGGTGAACATATAATCAGCCTAACTATTTATTTGGAAGGCCAATCATTCTAATTAATCTCACTAATATTTAAAGACATAGGATTGAGAAATGCTTAATCATTTTCATTTTTATATTATTTATGTTAATTATAATATAAATAATTTTACTTCAGTTGTGTCATGATATTTTAAAACATGAAGAACTATAAATTGGTCATATAAATAAAATAGAAAATTAAATAGATAAAAATAGAAACTTCACAATCTCAGCAATTTGCCAAAAACTTTATTTTTCAATGAATTATATATATGTTTTGAAAATAATTGTTATATATTAATAACTACTTTATACTGAATAAGGGTAAGGATCTATCATCTAGTCCCAAACTTAGTTCTTATGGCAAAAATGTTCCTGCCAAATAAAATCATGTTGTTTAGTGTCAGTAAAAGGATTTTGTTACCCAACTATTTTATTTTGACATTCTTTTAATTAAAGAAAATGAATAGGAAGTTAGATAGAATAGGATGTATGCAAAGCATCACCATCAGACATGACCTGCCTTTCTCTATATTTCTCTGGGCTCTACCATAAGCTTTAAAATAATCTAAGAAATTAAAGTGGTAGGTGGCTATACCCAAGGGTCTTTCTTTCCTTTCATTATACATATGGATCTTTTGTGAATTACCCCAAGAGAACCAGCTTCTAGTGGTTAAAGACCCAGGACAGAAACCAGAAAAAAATTCTATTTTTGGCACAAAGCCAGCTGTGTGACTCTGGGCCAGTCTCTCTCTCTCTTTCTCAGGCTTAGAAGGAGGCAATGACAAACCACTTCTGAAAATGTTGCCAGGAAAACTTCAGGACTTGCCAAGAGCTTGCCAAGAGCAGTGGCCAAGAATCAAGACTGACTCAAAGGCACAAAATAAGATAAAAATAAAAAATTCTTCTGAGGCAGATGCTTTGTGAGACAGCTGATAATCATGTTTTCAGAATAGGTCTGGAAAGGTTGAGTTCCTTGATCTATCATAACTGGCTGGTAATCTGCAAGATTTCAAGCAGTATTTCTGAAGATGGAGATGCTGACATAGTTATGTATTTTGGAAATGCTCACAAAATTTTTCAGCTAGCCATAACTAACTTACTTTGCAGTTCTTACCACATTATATCATCTTAGTATCCTTCACAATAATTTATATTATGGTAATTTGTTTTCCTCTATA